AGGCATCTTTTAAATCGAAAAATGTAAGTCAATTTAATTAATGCTCTATTCGGTTCATTTTAAATTAGAGAATTATTAGGAATTAGCGAAATACTTTAATTCCTAATAATTAAATAGTACTTGACTTTCTCTGAACATTTCTGAAAGGGAATAATGGGAATAATTCTTTTAATTATACTTATCAGATTTTTCTTACCCTTCATTTCAACAATACATATTCCAAAACTCTTTATTACGTTCTTAAGTGCGCATCTCATAGCATTTGCTTTACAATACTTTTTAAGAGATTGCTTTCCAACACGAACAATTCTTGCTTAAATAGTTTTATAACGCATTTGTCAACAGGATTTCAATTTATGTTTACAATTCAATATAAAGGTTATTATATATTTAGATAACATTTATAATCATTATAAATTAGATACATTTAATAATTAGATTTTCTTCACAGTACTTTCACAGTTTGTTTATAAGTGAATAAATTCTTCATTTCAAATACATTTATAAATAATTTAATGAATATTTAAGTATTTTGTTCAAAGGCAGATACATGCTTTTTGCAAGCACATGCATAAATACCCATACATATTTCCTATTTTTCATTTCCGGCATGTGCAAATCTTTAATTTCTGTGCATTTACTATATTTTTCGTGTCAAGTTATTTACACTAATTTAGCATACACCCGAAAGTTTTACATAAAAAATATATATGAATATAATTTGAATGAAAATTATAAGTATTATTTTTAATACCCACTCAAAGGTCAGTTTTTCTTCAAAATTCCTCCACGATGGCCTCCACGATCTCTCTCTTTAGGCAGATAGCACTTGCATGCGTTACTCTATTTAATAAAAACTTAATCTGACCTATGTGTCTAATTACAAATATTTTAACATACATAATTTTATATTTATAAAACGTGTAATCCCAAAGTGATTATTTTTCAGATATGTAAAATTAAAACGATGGGTTTAAAATGAGCAGCAGTAAAGCCTCTTCTCTAACAAATTTTAAAAGGTACATGTTACAATAATATATGGATGTGAAAAAAATTTGTTTTATTTAAAACATTTTGATGTTTGGAAAATAAAATAAAAGTAGCGAATACTCTATCGAGGGTATCGAAAGACGTATACAATTTTTAATGTACCGTAAGGTATTTTTCATTCTTTAAGCATAACATTTTTCTTAAAATCTATATTTTTGTTGTGCAACAGCTTATAATTTTATAAAAGAAATTCATAATCAAAATCTCTGTTGTTAGTTATCGAAAAATAACCAAGATGTGATTTTTGCGTAAATGTCACTAAACTATACAAATTGCTATTATCCATCACACTATGAATGTTTCTTTCATGCGAAAGTGTCCCTTTTTCGATTTCTATGCAACTGTCGTGTGTCGAAATACTATCAGAATCTTGTCAAGCGAGCTTCTGAATGTAAACAAAGAACACCCCATCTGGTGACCCAAGCTTCAAAGCGGTGCTTCACTTTTAGTGCGGGTTGGCCCCTCCTGCCTTTCGTACCTCCATGGGGTCCTGGTTGGGCCCTGTGGTGGGTGGGGCTGCCGGTTCCAAATCTTAATTTTTCACTCAATATGGCTCAAACAACTTTAATAAATACAAATGAGCATAATTATGCATCAATACACATAAAAACAAATGTAAATGCAAATCCAGGTATGAATCCAGCAAGCCCACCGAAATTTTTTGTCATAAATGATATCACAGGCAATCTTAAAAAGCTGTCACCATTTGTAATTCCAAAGTACATCCAATCTTGAATTGGGGAACCAAAGAAAATCGAACGGTTGCACTGAAACTTTATTAGCTACTCAGTCTGCAACACTCCTTGGATTGACTAAACTTGAAGAAATCGATACGAAAGTGTCAGCACATAAAACACTCAATGTTCTCGTTTTGTTATCTCAGCGATTGACCTCCTCTATGTTTCAGAAAAGGAAATTGCCTCTGAGTTGTCCGAACAGAATGTCTGTCAGATGGATTAAGATGTGCAAAGAAGGTCAGTTGATTGATACAAAGCATATAATCCTGACTTTCATGTCGCCTGATCTGCCAAAAAGTATTAAGGCCGGGTACTTGCACTGCCCTGTAAGACCTTACATACCGAAACCTTTGCGATGTTTTCAGTGCCAGAGCTTTGGCCATTCGAAAATGTCATGTCACGGCAAAATCGCATGTGCTCGCTGTTCTATGGAAGGCCATGACAGTGAAAATTGCAGTGCTGAGCCACTATGTGCAAATTGCAAAGGAAACCACGCAGCATTCTCACGACAATGTCCGAGGTAGAAATCAGAAAAACAGGTGCAGACAATGAAAGTAACAAAAAACATAGCATATGCAGAAGCAAGAAAATTGGTAACAGATGCACAGCCCCAAAAATGTTTGTCCTATGCCGGTGCATTAAAATGCTTTAAATCAGTGAGCACGCAAACAGCAATAGAACCAAATAAACAGCCAATCCAGAATGTATGAAAAAACAAATCGCAGAAACCAGTAACATCAACAATTAAAGCTCAACAAAACAAAGAAACAAAGGATTACCAAAGTGAAAATACTAAAGAAACAAAGAAAACTTTAAAACCTTTCAGAGATCCCAGTTTCAGCTCCTTTGGGAGCATCGGATTCTGAGATAAATGTGGAAGAGGGCCTAGATGTCCCAAAACACTTGCTTCCATGAAAATCTAAAAAACAGCATTGAAAGAACAAACAACAAGCGTAATGGCCACCCTCATTTCATGGAATTGTCGCGGCTTTCACCAAAATCTTGAAAATATTAAAAATTTGATAGATTTACATCATCCTGTGTGCTTGGCAGTTCAAGAGATTTTACTAAAACCCATTCAACAAGCTAAGCTTCAGAGGTACTGTTTCATGAGGCAAGATAATCTTGCAGGTGAGCATGTTAAAGGGGGTGTCGGCCTCCTGACTTCACTTGACTATCTGATATCTTTAAGCGCAGGCCTTCAAGTTGTTGCCATCCAAGTAAATATACAGAGCTTACTTTCAGTCTGTTCTGTTTATTTGCCCCCAAATCATCATATTGCGCAACGAGAATTAGATGACCTAATTGAATTGCCTAAACCCTTTATCATCATAGGGGACTTAAATGGACATAGTCCACTCTGGGGAAGTACAGATAGAAACCCCCAAAGCAGACAGATTGAGCAAATGATTCAAGACCATTGTTGTCTCCTCAATAATAGACATAACACCTACTTCCATGAGCCTACTAAGACATTTCACGCTCTAGATCTGGCTGTCTCTCCTGCTTTTTTGTACGTTTAGTGTCGGAAATGACCTTTATAATAGTGATCATATTCCTATTTTGGTATCTAAATGAGAGGGAGTAAATCCCATATCAAGATTTCCCCGTTTCATACTTACTAGGACAGACTGAGAATTCTCGTCTCTTGCAGAGATTACAGAAGAAATGGTAAAAGATGTGCCAATCAATGAAGCTGTGAGGCCTACCAGCGGCCGAGCAGTAATGTCGCTTAACACTGGTAGTTCGGTCCAAGGTTCGAATCCCACGAACAGGCTGGCTGCATAGGCGTTTTCATGGTTTTCCCCATGTGAATGTGTATATGAGCCAGTTTCCCATAGAAAGTCCTCCACTGAGGCATCCCTCCCCTTAGGCAGATAGCCCTAATGTGTTTTGCCTTAATTAAATAAACCAAACCAATGAAGCTGTGAAAGCAGTCACGGATGTCATAATTCAAGCAGTTACTGTCTCTATTCCAAAAACATCAACAAAGCTTCCTAAGTACACGAAACCATGGTGGAACCGTGAATGTCAAGATACACTGAAACAACAGAGAAAAGCTACATATGTTTTTCGTAAACACCCGACTTTGGCAAACCTTTCAAGATACACTGGAACAACAGAGAAAAGCTTAGTGAGTTTTTCATAAACACCCGACTTTGGCAAAACTTATTACCTTCAAAAAAGCTAAAACAAATGCAAGAAGAGTGAAGCGTAAAAGCCAGAGGGATTCATGGATGTCCTATGTGTCTGGAATAACAACCTCTACGTCTAGTAAACGAGTATGGGAAAGAGTTGGAAAAGCATATGGACTGTACAAAGACTTTTCACTTTCTACTTTCCTTTCTGGAAAAAAATGGCTAAGTGATTGGCACAACAGAAGAAATTGTGAACATAATTGGTGAGAATTTTGCTTCTGTTTTTAGTGGCAGCAACTACCGGCTGGCATTTCTCTCTGTTAAAGCGACGCTGTGAAAAAGCTCCCATTCGTTTCAACTCTCCCATCTGCGAGCCATATAATAGTGAATTTTCCAGGTTTGAGCTAAGTTGAGAATTGATGCAGACACACAGATCAAGCCCGGGTCCGGATGGTATCAGTTATGATATGCTGAAGCATCTGTCCTATCATTGGTTGCCCTTCTCACCCTTTTCAATCGAGTGTGGAAGGAGCATTCCTTTCCCAGTGCATGGTAGAGAGCTGTTGTTATCCCCATAGCTAAACCTAGGAAAGACCCAAAAAAATCTCTCCAACTACCGACCAGTCGCTCTTACAAGTTGCGTTTGCAAATTATTTGAAAAATGGTACACCGCCACCTAGTCAATTATTTAGAAAAATACAAAGTAATCTCACCATATTAGTGGTGTCCGTAAAGTTAGAACAACTAGGGATAATATGCTCATTCTGGAAACCTCCATCCATAGCCTTTGTCAAAAGGAACCATTTAGTGTCAATATTTTTTGTATATTCAAAAAGCTTATGACAAGGCATGGAGATATGGCATATTATTAGATCTTTACAACAGTGGCTTGCGTGGCAACATGCCGGTTTTCATAAGAAATTTCTTGAAAGCTAGATTTTTTCAAAAATTGGCTCAGTGTTATCATATGTATTTTGTCAAGAAGAGGGTGTGCCTCAAAGCTGCGTTCTTAGTGTTACTCTTTTTAGCTTAAGAATAAACTCTGTTTTAAAAGAACTTCCTCCTTCCATTTCAGGTTCACTATATGTTGATGACTTGCAGATAAGTTGTCAAGGTGCAGATATGAGATACGTGGAGAGACGGTTGCAGATCACTCTGAATAGAATTCAAAAGTGGTCAGATGGTGAGGGCTTTATGTTTTCAAAAGAGAAGACTGTATGCGTGCACTTTTGTAAAAAGCAGAACCTTCATCCTGAGCCTGAGCTTTACCACGGCTTGTTGATTCCAGTTCTGTCTGAAGTAAAATTTTTAGGTGCGGTGTTTGACCGTAAGCTTGCCTTTCTTCGTCATGTGTTATATTTAAGGAAGAAGTGTTTCAAAATAGTAAACCTACTAAAAGTACTGCGAACACCTCCTGGGGTGCAGAAACATGGCTCTTTACTTCATATTTTCAAATCGCTTGTACGTGCCAAATTAGACTACGGCTCAACTGTATATGGATTTGCACAGCCTTCTGTTTTAGTGAAACTTGATCCCATACATCATCAGGCCCCTGAAGTTCGGGAGTTTTCAGAACTTCTCCTGTCCAGAGCCTATATGTTGATTGTTATGAACTGGTGCTTCAACTATGGCATGAGCAATTGTCTCTTTACCAGTATTTTCAATATTATGTCACAATCTGATCATCCCCTCCAGGTGTGCAGTCCTTGATGACTGTCACAAACTTCTATTTTCTGCACAACCTCTTAACGTACTTCCTTTTTTAGAAGGAACAGAAATGCTGATAGAAAAAATTTTGCTTGTCTGATATCAAGGTCCAGGCAGTAAAGTATCTAGAATTCTGACCTTGGTATAATCCTAAAATTGAGCTACTGGATGTTTTTCAAGACCTTAATAAGAGTGACACTAATGAGGTAATATACAGGCAAGTTTTCCTTAAGCATAGAGATGAATCTCTGAATTTCTGAGACTAGAAATCCTCTGCTAGTAGATATTCTAATAATGCATAATAAACTAAAGAGCCAAGGGTACAATATTCTTTACTGCTGGGTCCCTGGACACATAGGCATAAAAGCTAACGAGCTGGCAGACACAGTTGCAAAGTATACAATTGCTTTGTTGAATTCGCTTGTTCTTTTTAGTGATATCAAAATAGCCATCAAGCAGAGAATCTCAATCAATCAAGAATGGCAGTTATTCTGGGGTGATCAGGTTTTAAATAAATTGAAAAGTATCAAACCTAAATTAGAGTACTGGAAGATGAACAGAAACCGGAGGGAGCAGGTGATTTTAACCCTCCTTCATATCGGTCACACTCGAGCCACGCATGGTTATCTGTTGAAGGCCGAGATTCAGTCTGTATGTTCAAACTGTAATGATGTTTTAACTGTTCGTCACTTTTTAATAAAATGTTCACATTTTAAAAGACTTCGAGTGAAATACTTTAATGACTCTGACTTGCCTCTGGACCTTATAATCAGGAAAGAGGCCAATACAAATTTATTTGAGTACCTGAAAGAGACAGGCCTTTATAATTTAATTTGATTTTGTCTTGCTGTTACATCTTAGTATTTTAATGAAATGTATTTTAAATTATTTCATGTTTTAGAATTTTACACCCAACTTCATTTGAGCATTGATTGTTTCATCAGTTTTGGATTTTATATTTTCCGTTTGATTTTGAGTCTGTCTGTGTATTTGTATATATGTTTGATCTATTAGCTGTGTTTTAAGTGTCTGACATGTGGTTTGGCGCATATAACCTCTAAGGTTTTGCGCCAGAATATGGACACACCAACCTACCTAAAGGGAAATTGGCTTATATTCACAATACATAAAAAAAACTATGAAAATTTTCACCTAGGCAGCTCATTTGCTGGCATTTAAACTCGGATAAAATTACTAGCATTCACCAATCTTAACCATTCAGCTCCTGGTAGATATCAGTCTGTAGGAATTATTTTGCCTGCAGTACTGGAGTAAGAAAGTAACTAGTGAAATGGTTTTTGGTTATGCGTGAAATTTTATTAAAATAGGCATTGCTGAATTGAGAATAGGTTTGTTATGCAAAAATTGAGCAATTTTTTTTTCCTAGCCTTTTAATGTACTCTAAGTATAGATCTAAATGATTTAATGGAAAATGAAATAGCCCAGTGCCCCTTCCCCCCAAGCTGGCTGTGCACTTGCCTGTGTAGAACTGATTAACTATTTGGTCATTTAGCTATACAGTACTAAGTCCGTAATCTGGACTCGTCGAGACTTCGGCAATTCCGGATTAGGGGTTTTTCCGGATTATAGATCATCAATTTAAATTTGGTAAGATGGCATGCAGAGAAATTATACAATTAAAAATATGAAACCGTAATTTATGAAATAAAGAGCAATTATGATCTAAAGGGTATCAAAATTTACAAAAAAAGCTTAATATTTATTTGTTTAGTTTAGTAAAGATTCTGTCAATGTAAGTTGTTTAAGTTGCTTCGTTTCTTGTGCTAATACTTTCTCTTTAATTCTACAAACAGACATAATTTCTTGTTCAGTTACAAAGTTCCACTGTTCAAGTCCTGTAATTGCTGTGTCGAGAATACCGACTAACTTGTCAATCGAAATTTTCATTTTCAATAACGTTCTGTTACTTTCTTCACTATCGGAAGTGTGCGTGGATAAACGCTTTACTGGCTTTACGCGCATGCGTAAGTTTGTGGCTTTGAGGTCCGGATAATTGACGTCCGGATTAGAGACTTTGTACTGTATCATCACTGAGATGTTGCTTAGAATGCACCATTGAAGATAGTATTTAAGAACTGCTTTTTCTTTGGAAGAGACACGCACTAACAACTAAACATTGGGAGTTTCATATTTTTCCTAGTGTACAGTGTGAAAAATGTTCTCTGATATGCAGGTTTGATTCTTTACCATGGAGGACTGGCCTCTGCTAACCATTGTGCCATCCAAGGCAGTAGTACTCAATTATAATGAGCATGAAATTTTCCTGTGCATAACTTTTCTGACAACCGTTTCTCTAAATCCATTTAGATTTTAACAGCACTTAATATAGTGCAATTCTTATGATGTATTTTATCAAGTGCTATTGCAGTTAGTTTTAAATGTCTTAACTGATCTTTCGCATTTCATTAATTCTAAAATTATTAGTATAAAGGGGCTTTGTTATATATTAATGTTTATGTTAATTATTAATATATATTAATGTGGATGTTAATGTTTCTACTACTATCTTATATTTCAATAAGAGTTCTCCATTTCCTTATAGATACAGATTTCAATCAGCCATAGTATTTCAGTGTACTTCTTGTGGTAAAATTAGCTTTTATTTATTAGTTTTTCTATAGTATGCATTTGGAAGATGACAATTAAAAACTCGACTATCCAAGTATATTATGAGTGACAGGCTGTATGCAAGGAAATTAATGATTTGTGGTCCCCTTTAACTTGGGCTGTGAAATGCACCCAACTGCAGTAATGCAGAGACCATCATGACTGCAGTACCGCGAATTAAAGTTGAGTTCTCTTTACTGATTAGTCTCATTATTGTGTGAAGAGTGATTTTAGATGTGTTAAAATCTGGAGGAAGCAAAACACATGCAATGAGCTTGGGAGCTGTTGTGAAAGTTATCGATACAAAATGGGGTAGAATCATGATTATGAGTGGACATTGTTTTAAATGCATTTATTATGCTGCATTATTACCAGTGTAGTTATTAGTGTTGAAATATGCAGGCATAATGTTCTTCATCCATACGTCAAGTTATTTAGAGGTGTATTTGATAATTCCTCCTAATCAAACATAATACTCTTATCCATTATGCTGCACTAGCAGCCAATTATCTTGAGGGTGCAGAAATCCAGTGAATGAAGTTAATTATGTATTCAGTGTATTTAAACTTGACAGAACACGTGCCAGTCTCACCAAGATGTTGCATCACTCTAGCCTTACATCTAGCTTTCTCCAAGAATTTCATGGCACTGTCATTGTGAGTACACCTGATGACCTCAGGAAGCCTTGGACAATTTATTACTGTGGTTTCAAACTGGCGGCCCCAAAGTCATTTTATGCAGCCTGTGAATTTATGTATTGGCTGTAAATACATTGCTAGAAGTTTGCGGTTAAGGTTATTGAAACAATAACTAAAGCAGTAAACTTTATCCACGAATAAGCTCTGAATCACTGAGTTTGTTGTACGAATTCAAGGAACTGAAGTGACTATAGAGAAATCATTTGGTATAACGAGGTAAAGCAGTTAAGATATAGATCTTATTTGTAGATTTGATTAACTTTTATTCATACTTGTCAAAAATAAATATCCTCAGGTACGATTTTTTGCAATTAGAATAATCGCTTTTTAGGAGTACATTTATATGTGAACAGTAATTTTTGCGGTTAAAAATTAAAAAGTCTGATAAAAGAACCTGCTTGACGCCGAATCCCAGAGATCCCTTCTAGTCATGGATATTTGTAAATGTATAGTGTTTTGCGCCATGGGGGCATTCAAAGTATATAATGAGCCAAAAGTCCTCTCGTGGGAAGAGGGAGGGGAGACTCCCCCCCCCCGAGGTACTCTCTTTCAAAATTGGGTGAAAATTCTAAGTCCAACCTCCTTGAGGCTGTGGCAGCCATTCTTTCATGAAATTCATGGACAACGACACGAACCCGATTGACTGATGAGCATCTACAATCCAGGATGAAGATAGTTTCTAGGAATTTATCTCCAAGACTACGAACTTAATCAGAATTGAAATGCCGGTTGTAGTAAGAAGTAAATAAGTTTATAATTGTTTACATATAAATGTTTCTATTTTTCTGAATATGTGGAAGAAAAGCTTAGATGCTTGTCATTATATATTCTCACGTTTTAACACACTTCGAAAGTTTTCATAAAATTTATTCATAAATATTAGTTTTAAAATTTAGCATTTTGTTGTCGTTACTTGTGTAGTGTAAAGAAATTTGTACAAAAACTTAAATTTCAGATAGAGAATAAATTTGAATTTTTTGAGTTTGAGAAATTAAAAAGTAAATGTAGAGGGAAACTGTGTAGAAAATACAACTGAATATTAAGGAAATAAATTTATGTTCGAAGAAAATTAAATTTACAAAAACATAATTGTAAACTTGCACAAACTAGACGCACATATATCACATCAGGTTGTAAAGGAGTGCTAGCCATATATTAGAGATATATACGGCACTAAATATATATAAACTCGCTCTTGTTTTGTTTAAAAAAAAAAAAGATGCGGCCCGTCAATTATTCTCAGATCGTGCATTCAGCCCGCATGCAATTTGAGTATGAGACTTCTTGATCCAATACATAGCATGGAAAATCGCTGTAAAGCTTGCATTTTGGTCAGGGGATGACCTTAAGCTTTATTTTTTTAGGCGTCTTTAAAAGGCTGTAACACCAACTTTTCCAACTCCATTTTATAGCGCATTTCCTCTGTTCTTGTTTAAATTAATTTTCATAGAAATAAACAGTTCCACATTGTGAAGCTATATCAGACATGAAAAAATAAAGATTTTCTGCAGGTTCCATATTCTTAGCTGCAAACTCATTAAAATTATTTGAGTTTTTATAGTTGTATCTGTAATTTTTCCTGCCAGTTTAATTTGCAAGTAAAGTAAAACAGGTTGCCTTTTTACAACAATTTGAAAAATTAATTTCCATTTTAATTTAATTCAATTTGATCTAAATCAATGAAACCTGGTATTATGTAATTTTTATCACTAATTTTGACGATATTGACAACATGATATATAAGTCAAGCATGCATCTATTGTATTACTTTGAAGATCAATTAAATAATTTACTGTGAATAATTTGTATGTTAAATTACAGAAAATTTCTTTTGGAGGATATTCATTATTTAAAAAATTTCAAAAGGAATTTTTGGGTAGTATTAATCTTTTTGTTTCCTTTTATACAAGCATTAAAATATTTCTGGATAAACTATTCCTGATATTTTTAACCCAAATTTTTGATAATTAATGTCATTAAAATAATATACCGTTTTGACTTTTGTTATATTCTTCTTATTCAGATAGCAGGGGATGAATGTAACTGGTTTGAAATTACTCATCCATATTGCTCATAACTACTTATATGCATTTCTAAATAGCTGATTTTGTGCTTATTGTATTTCAGTAACACTTCACAAATTTTATCCGTGATGTGTTTAGAAGACATTTCAGTGATCGAGGTTTACTTAAAGAGGGGTATTTTTACTAGCATTTTTTAAAACAGAAAGGAAAAAAAAAAAAAAAAAAAAAAAAAAAAAAAAAAATCATGTAGAATTAAATGAAGAGATGGGCTGCTGCAAGGACAGCAGAAGAGTTTATTGGGTGCAGCTTAGGGCAGCGGCTCCGCGGAGCCCTAAAGGCTTTGTGTAAACTACTCAGGGGCTCCCCGGCGCTCCAAGAGAATTAAATAAATACAAATTGGATGAAATAAAAAAACTAAGAGGAAAAACAAAAGTATAATGGAAATAAAAAAAATCCTGGACACGATGTCCAGACACATTCTGGTAACAAAATGCCTGGTGCTCACAATCCAACATTATCTTCCAATCTGATACTTGATTATTAAAAAAAAATATAAAAATATTACCACATTTGCATAACAAAATAATTAACTCTTATAAGTAAATGATTTTAAAGAAAAACTTCAAAAGAGTTAATATTACTCTTAAATTATCTTAATTGGTATAAGGCCCACCAGCGGCCGAAGCGATAAAGTTGCTGAACACTGGTAGTTCGGTCTGTGGAAGTTTGGTACAGAAGGAATGGAATTCCAAATTTCGAAGCCCAAGTCGCGATGAGGGCGTGGGCGACAGACTCTGCGGTTTGGTCTTTTAGAGGAACAACTTCGATCCACCGAGTGAATTTATCGGTAATGGTAAGCAGGTACCTAAAACCTTTGCAAGATGGTAAAGGGCCAACAATATCAATATTAAGGTGCTTGAAACGTTGATTGGGAACGTTTCCCCTGGATTGTTGATTGGGATAGTTAGAGTACAGATGCATCTAGTATAATTAGGCTGATCTGCGCCGTTCGATTTGGGTGAACTAACATTACAGAGTTACATAGTGCGCTTTTTATATCAGTGAAAACCTTCCGCGCATCTTCGGTCCAAATTAAAGAT